TAGGGAAAGGAGAGTGGACCCCCAAGTTCTCTCCTTGAACATTTAGGCAAATTATAAAAGAGCATCAGCTGCTGAAGTAGATTTCAAGCTCCCAGCTTGCAAGCCACTGCTGCTTGAAGCCATCGAGCCCAGGAACGCATTAAGAGTGATGGTTCCACATGGATGAGTTGCTCTGAATTTTTTTTTTTTTTTAATTTTTTTTGTAAAGTCTTCAGGCACAACTGCGCTTTCCTTCACTGTCAAACGTATCTGTCTTTTCCCACAGTCCAGCATTTCTCTCTATTGTAGCCATGGCAAGGAAACACACATTCCAAACACGTTCAAGTCCCCTCTCGCCCATATATATAAAACATAGAAATGGAACTGTTCAATATACATACACTGTAGGAAGCCACCCACAGAGCAAGGAGCTGAGCTTTACACTTGATATGAATAAGTCTGCAAGAACAGAACAATTATTTTTTTTTATATACCTGAATATAAGACACAAAATGTTCTTTGTCTTGTATTTTAAAAGCATTCAACATCAGGCATCAGGCACGAATAAACTGGACCCCAACTACATCAAGCTGTTGGGGGAGGATCTGGTTATTCTATTTTATGTTAGCACTTCTTAGCTGTTTGGAAAGCCCAAACAGAGCCAGCCTGGGGCTGACCACAAAGCCAGGAGATGGCACAAGGTAGTGAAGGCAGGAAGGACCATGGCCCGACCTGGGAACCAGCAGCAAAGGAGAGCAGCAGAGAACAAAAGCCCTCAATTTTTTGCAGCTCACTAAGCCACAGAGCAAGTTTCCAAACCCAGTGCTAGGTTTATTTGTACAGCTTTAGCTAACTTTGCAGGATAAATCCTGGAAGAAAGACTGTCCATTTACACACGGGGCTAATTACTCTGCCGTCACTCAGTGCTTTGCCTGGGTGCAGCCAGCGACAGCACGTCATTAGCTTGGATGACAAAATCCTCCCAAACTATGTGCGTTCAGACCCTGACTACCATCTTCTCACATCCATGAGAGTAAGGAGTACCCGACAGTTCCCAACAAGCCGGGGTACAGCGGGCTGAAACAAAATTGAGTCAGGCTCTAGAAGTGCCCATTTTTCCTTCCACTCAGAGGAACAGCAACTGGTCATTACTGAAGGTCAACATGAAATAATACAACTGTTACCCACAACACCTTTCTTGTTCTCAGTGAATACACTCTTTAGGTTCTTCAGCTCTTGAATATGGCTATTAACCTTGCTTCCATTTGCAATTAGAATAAGTGCCTTAATTGCATGATGAATTGCTGTGTAGACACCAGCTAATACAGTCATATTCAGCAGAAGGGTGCGGCAAAGTTATTTAACTTGAAAGAAACCACCTTTAAATAGATCTGTCATACTTGGGGAGGGCAGAAACATCTATTCTGGAGACAGACACCACAGTTCATGGGCCAAATCCTGTATGTTTCTTCACACCAATAGTCTTCTGGTGCTAATTTTCACTTGCTTGGGTAATAAATAAGGGCTGAAGGCCCAACTTTTAATTCTGACATTTGTTAGATGATTAGAATAGAAAAATGTACAGAAAGTTTTATTTCATGTTTCATGTGCTTTTAGACTTTTGCTCAGGTAGTGTAACAAAAACCAAACTCTATGGGAGGCTTAATACTGAGCTTGCAAAAAGTCCAGGGAAGGTTGTTTATCTAAAATCAGCTGTTCCACTTAAGTACTTTTATACAATAGATTTTTTTCTATTTGTCTGACAACCTCAATAAAAACTTCTAACAAAAATTGAGACTAAATGTGAATTGATGTATTCCTTCAACCTTAACTGGAGTTAAGATAAACCCATTTACAGATAAACCTAGCTTGAGTCTGATTTTAAAACTCATTTTTTAAAGAAGAACAGAAAAACACATAAAAGTTTTACTTTACATCTCAAACTAAAAAGCACTGTACTGATCACTACACAAAAGATCACAGCTGTCACCCAGAAAAACGGGCACTTTTCAGATGCTTACACAGAATCAGCAACCTGACTTGGGAAAATCAGAGGAAGATTTCCCCATGGACCCAGTTCAGCAGCACTGGTTAAAATTTTGCCAAGGACTTTAAAATACGATGAGGTCCTTAAATGACAGGAAAGGCGGGCAGCACGTGAGCACTGGCAAAGCACATTTCAAAGAGGATCTGATATGGAAAGGGTTGGGTGCCCACCAAATTGTGATAAGATGTCAAACAGGAATCTGTCTCTCTTACTAGCAATGTGATCACAGCAAATGCAAGTTACAAGGACAGTCACACATTTTGTCCTCATAGAACTGATTTCATAAAAATCACCCTGCTACATTATTTTTAACATAAATCTACCTTTCTCAGAAAGAGAAAAAAGTTACCATATCTGGAAATAAGCAAGAAGAAATTGCCTATAAACTCTAATAGAGCAGCAATTTTCAGTTAACCTTCAGACCAAGAGCAATTTATTATGCAGCCGCTAACTCTGGAACTAGACAGGGACATCTTTAATTTTACAAGACGCTGCTGTTTTTAATTCTCTTAGGTTGCCTTCATTTTGTCTCAGGTTTTCTGAAAGGAGATTTCAGGGCTGCATTTTCCTTTCACTTCTATTCCCATACACAAATACATATTCCTACTTTGTTTTCCAAGACACTTGGTTGGACAGTGGTGGGAAATCACCTCCAACTAAAAATAATTCAGCTCCTTTGCCAACTTTTAAAAACACTTGATTGCATACAGTACTCAGTAAGAACCTGGCAAGAGTTTCAAGTGCAGAACAGTACGTGCCATACATATCCTCAGACAAGAGTTTAATCATAAAGATGTTGCTTCCTACCTATCTGCATGACTCTGCCAAAAACAGAGTTGTTGTCCACAGTGCTGCAATTCCATCTTCTATGTCTGAACTGATACTGGCACTCCTTAATGCCCGTCTTTGCACCCTCTCCAATGAACTGCATATGGTCCTGATACAATTGGCAGAGTTTCTTCTGTCCTTGGGAAAGCCCTGCTAGTTGGCTACATAGTGGCTGGGCTCCTATTATATATACCTCTGACATCTGAACAGGGTTCATGGGATTCATAGGGTTCATCCCTAAAGACCTGCATAAAGAAAGATTCAGATTAGTAAAGAGAAGACTCAAAAAAATCCCACAAAAAAGTCTATAAATCCGAAACAGAACTGTATCTTATATATGAGCATACAACTCCTGGTTTTGCTAAAAGCTGAGGAAAAAAAATGCACTTAAATATGAAACTTTTGTTTTAAAGACAGCACTGAACAGAAGTTATTAGCTCCTATCCATGTGGTTATCACCACAGATTAGGGACTGAAGTAAGACGCAGACTTGGAAGACTTGCATCTAGGCAGTCCTTTACCAACTTAAATGGACGTAGTAAAAGTAACAGAAGCTCCAAACAACTGCAAGGGCAGAAAAACAAATAAAGCAAAAATGAAAAAAGCCCCCCAAGCCCCCATTTGTTTTAACACATATTTTAAATTTAAGTCTGTTTTTTTTCAATCTGTTCTACCATAAACAAACAGGGAAAGGTTTAACAACCCAGAAGTTAGAAACTTGTTACAGACCACTTCTAGCTTCTGAACAACACACAAAAACACAGAGGCACTGTAAACATATTCACTGTAAACAAAATCAGCTTTGTTTTCTTAAGTTTTAAAGTGCTCTTCACATAATACATTTAAAATAAAAAGTAGCCATTAACCCAAAAAGAATCACTTGAAACAGCAGAGAAACACCTATTTCAAGAACTCCCAACATCGTAGGCTATACAGAAACGGGTAATTTACCAAAGCAGAGATTTAAATGTACTTCTTCGTAACAAAAACCATTTGGAAATATTTAAGTTACAGAAAAGTTCAAACCAAAACTTTAATAAAAGTTTTTACTTGTAAATCAGCATTCTTTCTTATATATGCAAAATATATAATCTACGGGAGTTGAAATGACTCTTTTAAAAGAGGCAATTCTAGTAATTTAAGGATGATCAAATCCACAGAGAATCTACTTTGCAGCATTCTAAAACCTGAATTTTACAGCACGAGATGTTGCACATTTACACTTATTCGAGAGACTCGTTCATTTTACTACACAACGTATTACAACTAAAACATTACTCCCCCGCTGTCTCGTTCATGCGGTAGTCCCTCAGAAACAAAGTACCTAAGAAGTAAATAGACATTTAATCAAGTAAATCTTGACACCCTCTTTAAAATCAAATCGATACAAGATGCTTACCACCACGAGCTGGCTTCTATTACAACCTGGGTAAAAGAGGAGAAAATGGCCAGAGCCACTATGAGGTACTGAGAAGCCATTGTCCTGCCAACTGTCCCCAAAGCACCTCCTTGGATTAATACCGCAGTGGATTTCTAGAGGGGGGAGAAAAAGGATCAGATCGTTTATTGCTCCTCAGACCATTTTCCAGCATTCAAGTTTAAACAACGGAAGTATCCGGGCCCCTCTTAACTTGCCTCTGACTCGCCTGCCCTTCTCCCCGCCGAGGCTCTGGGGCCAGACGCAGGCACGTCGCGGCTCCCGCTCCACCGGACAGAACCCACCCCCGCACCCCCACCCCCCGCGGACACCGCCTTCCCGGGGCGGCCG